GCGCACTCGCCCGCCACGGGCGCATTGATTGTCTTCATTGCGTCGTGCGGCGCAGGCATGTACTGAACCGCCACTGTCAACACCCGGAGCAATGCAGACGTGCATGGGGCGTTTGGGCTCCACATGGACGCCACGACGCTCGCTGTAAACTCGGTCAAGCTGCACGCTGGTCTAGTGAGATTTGACACCACCGAGCACCTTTCTAAAATCTGGACATGAACTTGGGACTCCACTCACGCCAACTGTGTTTATAGAGCACTTCAAAACGGCCACCGCTGTCGACAAACTGCTGTACTGGAGCAAAAATAACAAACAATAAATTGGCAATGAAGAATAACGGTCCAACTAAAAATCGAGGCTCATGCTGAGTCCAAAGCCAAAGAATAAAAAATGAGTTTGAAGACCAATTTTCAAGATGGGTTGCGAGGGGGTTGGCCGAATGTTCATTCCAAAGAGAAGGGAGCGCCAATGGAAAAGGCTCCATCCCCTCCGCGCCTCCGCTTAGTTCTCCGTACCTCTAAAAGCGTCCGGTCCGCAGACCTCAGGCAGTGGGCAGGGGTGGAGGACCTCAGAGGTGGGGCGAGGCCATTTCAAGATTTGAAAACAAATCATAGGACCTTCAAAGGAACTATATAGGGAGCCAGTGAAGGGATGCTAGAGTAGGAGTTATGTGCTCCCTCTTACAAGTAACAGCCAAAAGGCGAGCGGCAGCATTCTGGACCAACTGGAGATGTTTGATGGAGGATTGGCTGACTCCAAAGTCAAATGCATTCCATTAATCCAACCGGGATGTGACCGAGGCATATATGACTCTTTCAAAGTGCTCTTGAGAAAGGAGAGGCTTGACTTGAGTCAACCGCCTCAGACGTAAGAGGCTGGCTTTAACAGTGGCACCAATTTGCCGCTCCAATTTCAAATCGCTGGCCGGTAGTTTTGTGGCGCTGTCCTGCTTGCGGTGCTGAAAGCAGACAAGGATGAGTCCAGCGCAGCCTCTGTCTCCATGCACACCAAAATGTTGAGACAGCATGCAGAGCTTTCGTCTGTCAAGATGCGCTGGATGAGCAATCTAACTTGCTTTTTTAATTCAACTTTTCATGAAGTTTAGCACACCCCGAGAACACTTTTTTTTTCCCAAAACGACTATACGTAATGTAATACACACATGTTCAATTTTGATTGAGATGATTTGAGAACCTGTATGGAATGAATTTGTGTCATTTTTAAATGTCTCCCTTTTCCAACTGGGCATTTGCACATGCACCCATCCAGCTTTTTTTTTTTTTTTGCCCCGTCTGCTCTCTGTTTGCAGTTGGCGGCCAACGCGGTGCTTTTCAGCAGTGTCAATTTGTTGGGGGCGTTTGTGCGGATTCTGACGGAGCGTACGCAGAGGAAAGTCTTCCTGCAGGCCCGCACCTGCATCGAGGAGCGGCTCAGACTGGAAGACGAAAACGAGAAGCAGGTGAGGCGTGCGCACCGATGCCACGGCGGCGGACGGAGTGCAAATCACGCCAACCTTCCCAAAAGATCCCACCTCATCTTGCGCACGCGCGTTCACGGAGTCGCAGAATCGGCGGCGGTTTTGATTTGACGGCTTCGGGTGCGGAAGCATTCGAACAAGCTCCCTGCAGGAAGGCCGTCACGATGACGGCCGCTATTCAAGGAAAGAACAAGTACTGCGGCTTATCCCCAATTCGGCAGCCTTCTTTGCACACCTACCACGGCTGCAACTTGAGCGCGGGACACACACTCGTGGCCGCGTGCGCCATCGTCGTCACCGGTCATGTGTCCAAAAAACGTTTGACAGAATGTACGTTAGCCAAGACACAAAGCGCAAAGAGCCAAACAAGTAAGCCGCGCTTTGGAGGCGAGTTGATGATGGGCTGCATTTTTTTTTTTTTTCCCGATCCGTAACAGGCTCCCCTCCTGACAGGTAATTACACAAGCAGATTGCTTTCATGGTCGCCATACTTGAGGAAAGGTTACAGTGAAAGAAAACCCACGGGAGCTGATTGGGATCCATCGCAAGTAAGCCACGCTTTGGAGGCGAGTTGATGATGGGCTGCGTTTTTTTTTCAAGATCCGTAACAGGCTCCCCTCCTGACAGGTAATTACACAAGCAGATTGCTTTCATGGTCGCCATACTTGAGGAAAGGTTACAGTGAAAGAAAACCCACGGGAGCTGATTGGGATCCATCAAGCGCAAGCCGACAGCCCCGATTGCGAGCCGCGTGTCGACGATTTGAATGGCATCCGTCAGACTGACCTTTAGCTTTAATTGTTTTTAATTTTTTTTTTAGTCCAGATAAACATATAACCTATGGTGAGCCCTGATTTTTGGATATTTTACAAATTCCCTTCAACTTGGGACTCGCACGGAAGCAAAGCATTGCATTGTGTCATCTCACGTCAAGGTTTTCGGAACCTTTGGCTCGGTCTTGTGCGCACCGCTGATATTTTAGTCGTGTACCTGTTGAAAAGGAACGCAATCGCAACGCAAACAGTCACCATCAGCGAGTTTGCTCAGTTGTCATGGAGATGGACGTCTTGACATTCGTGTGTGTGTGGCAGTGCATACGGCGACGCCTTGTGGAATACGGCCATAATTATTCATCTATTCGTTTTTCACTTCCCATCGCGGAGGTTCTTTTGCGTTGACGATCAAAAAGTCGGTGCATTCAGCCCCACAAAAGTCACTTCAGACATGAGTAGCGGTCATCGGTTTACATACATGAATGATATGATTATTTTTAATGAATAGTTTGGGCTATTTAACTTAATCTTTCGAAATATGTCACGCATGTGAGGATCTCCATCCTTCCGTTCATTTCAAACGTACGCTTTGTCTTACAGCTGCGATGTTTAACTTGTGGTCACAAGGGAATGGAAAGGAATCTGTTTAACTTCATCTTTCGAAATACGTCACGCATGTGAGGATCTCCATCCTTCCGTTCATTTTCTACCGCTTATCCGCGGCCGGGGCACAGAGAGCAAGGAAACTCGGACTTCCCTCTCCCCAACCACTTCGTCCAGCTCTTCCCGGGAAGGCCTTCCCAGGCCAGCCGGGAGACAAAGTCTCTCCAGCGTGTCCCGGGTTGTCCTCGGGGCTTCCTCCCAGTGAGACATGCCCGGAACACTTCAGCAGGGAGGCGTCCGGTCCAGGAGGCATCCTAGTCAAATGCCCGAGCCACCTCATCTGGCTCCTCTCGATGTGGAGGAGAAGCGGCTGGACTCTGAGCCCCTCGCCAATGACCCAGCTTCTCACCTTATCTCTAAGGGAGAGCCCGGCCGGACCTCCTGCGGAGGAAACTCACGTTTGGCCACTTGGAGGCCAAAAGTGGCCAATTTACGGTCAGGACCCGCAGCTCGTGCCCACCGGTGAGGGTAGGAACGTCCATTGACCGAGAGCTTGGCCTTCCAGCTCAGCAAAACGTAAAACTTCATCAAGGAGTTGGGTGTGTCATTTCCCAAATGTTTTCTTCAAGTGACTGCAGCTGAGAGATGCTGCAAGTGTTTTTTTCATGACGATCCCTTTTTATCATTTCACGAAAATAACAAAATGTTGATTTTGCTCACCAAAACAGTATTTCTAACCCCCCCACCCCGCTCCCCCTTCTCAGGAGCGTCTGCTAATGAGTCTGCTGCCCAGGAACGTTGCCATGGAGATGAAGGAGGACTTTCTGAAGCCCCCCGAGAGGATCTTTCACAAGATCTACATTCAACGTCACGACAATGTCAGGTATGGGCTGTCATGACAACTTCAAGACATTTGGATCCAAATGCGGCCTCCTCACACATCAAGGTCAATGAATAGAAGGAGACCAATTAAGTCAAGAAAATGAGAACGGTGCGGCCACAGCAGACCTTGGATTTGATGATTAAACATCGGACGGACATGGTCGACAACGTTCAGTTGCGATTTCCACTAAATTGCCCCAGTTTTCCCCACGGATCAATCGAACCGATGCGTGATTCGTGAGAATTCATCCATAACACAAAAATCAAAGCATCTGGATCCAGGTATATTTTTAAGCAGATGTTCAGTGTACTTTTTATCAAAAAAAAAAAACAGATAGGTGTTTTTTATAGATCCCAACTATCTCCCCTCCCCCACCCAGAGTATTTCACACCGTTTGTGCTCTGCCCCGCCGTCTCGCGGCCTTCCGTTGCGCAACAGCGTGACCCGCGGTGCAGTGGCTTTTGAAGCTAAATCACACGGCGCGATTGTTTTGTCGAGCTGCAGTCATGAGCTTTGCATATATTTGGCTGCCCGACGGCCAGTCTTTGCTGCCAAAACAAGCGCGCAACACGCAAACGGCGAAACATCAAACGGGAGTTATTTTTGGTGCCTCCACAGCACATGTTGTCAAAAGCGCATCGGTCGCCATCATTGTGTGACTATCGAAAGCAAGATCACGCCCGCTATTGCTGTTTTTCTTGCGCCCGTTGTTTTTGACGCGCATCTCCTTGCGCATGATTCATCCCCTTCGCGTCATTCCAATTGGACCGTAGTGCAAAAAAAAAAATGGGTTTCCACGTCGAGCTGTTTGTTCAATGCAATTCCAGTGCGAGCTTGAGAGGCAGGCCGGGCCTCCCGTCGGGAGAACAGTGAGAAGATCGCATTACTTCTGAGGACTTCCTTTTTCTTTTGGTGTGCGTGTGTTTTTTTTTTTTTATTCGCCGTGTCTACATGCGTATCAATGTGAAGCTCGGCACAAAGGATTTGTGAGATTAAACAAAAAAAACAGTATTCTCACGAGTCCATCTGCCTGGTCAGGATCAGCGACCCGACTGTATTGTCAGTCAAAAACTTGCGCTTTCCATCGGCACCGAAACGAGTCAGCGAACGATCTCGTCTCCAAAAGAACCCCCCGGGCACGACTCCTGCTCCATCGCGGGCTCCGTAATGTCCTGATTTGTTGCCATCTGGCCTGTCTGAGGAAATCAAATTGGGGCTAAGTAGCTTTTCATCACCGTCCTCCGTTTCACTCAATCGGGTTGCCGACAGAATTCAGTTCCAACTTGTCATTCATTTGGTGGCGTTGAGCAATGAGATACCTTCGCTTATCACGTCGCGGTTCACTCTGATTATCCACGTCTTGCCAGCTGAGATTTTTATTTTTTTTTCCGGTATCCTCTTTTGTTTGTTTAGAATGCGTAGCAGGACGTCCATGAATCTGATTTGCATCTGACGTTTGAACCTCTCCTGTTCCGTCTTTCTCGACAGCATATTGTTTGCCGATATTGTGGGCTTCACGAGCCTGGCTTCTCAGTGCACCGCGCAGGAGTTGGTCAAGTTGCTCAATGAGCTCTTTGGGAAGTTTGATGAACTTGCTACGGTGAGTACATGATTTTTTTTTGGAGCTCTTAATATCAACCCCAAATTCAAATCACAAGTAAAATGACCGAATCATAAAATCCCTCCAAATATTTTGTGAGCTTCTGCAATTGCCTGTATTAGACAAAAAAAAAAAAAAAAGAAAAGATCAACAAGGAAGCCAAACGTATGATTAAATCTTGGCGCTCATTTACTATGCTGCACCAAACATCGAAATGAAGGAGGTCGCCGCCGCCGAAGGTCGAGACGGAGCAGTCGATGGAAAGGTTCCAAGTGGGAAAGAGGAAGGAAGTGATTTTTAGCCAGAGCGGGAGATCAGCACTGATTGTGTGTGCGTGGGGGCAACAGAGAGAGCGCGCGAGGCGTGAGCGCCACCGTTGTCCACTCTGCCAAACAGATGGAGTGACCACATAGAAGGAACTCTGGCCGTGCCAGAAAGAGTCTCAGCGACAACAATCCCGACCTTTCTGCCTCAATCTTGTTCCCGAGGAGGCTTTGTTAGCAGTTCGCCGCACCCTCATTGGACTCGATATTCCGTCTTGATTTTCGTGGCGGAGCAAAGCCTCGTTTTTGCCCGCTTGGGCATTTGGCAGACAGCTCGGCGCCACGCTGGCTATTCTGGCGTTTCCTCACCTGACTAGTTGGCAGGCGCTGCCCATCTAAAATGGAGCCCCCCTTTTTGGAACCACGTCAACTATCGGTGCCTCGAGTCTCGAGGTGATTTTGGTGAATTTGATGATTGTTTGTTCCTTTATCTGTGCTGACTCAGCTCAGCTTCAATTTGGAGGGTCATCTCTGCCCGTGTGAGGTCCGAGGCAAGTGGGGAAGCCGCGTGAAGTTATTTATTGACGTGCAGAATTGACAGTCGACTCTCAAAAGGAGAGTGAGAGCACACAAGGCGTTGACGATGGTGATGACTTGTCATCCATTCCTCTTCTTGTGCCACATCAAAGGAAACAAACCATTTGGACATCTGGTCAGGGTAGGATTCACTTTGACTGGAGAAAAAAATGGTGGTCCAGCAAGCACGATGCGCCAGAATTGTGCCCCAAAATGTTTTCAATATGCACGGCGGTCATTTGTGACATAAAATGCTGTGATCATCCATTTTCGAATGGGCTTCTCTTCAAGGAGGGCCGATCCGAGCTGTCTTCGGGCGGTAGGCGGGGGGCACCCTCAACCGGTGGCCAGCGGATCACAGTGTCGTTCCCTTGCTCCGATTGGGCAAACGCTGTGGAGTGCGTACGTTGTCTGGCTCATGCGCTCCATATCTTCGCACGTGATGAGCCATTTCTGAGTACAGCCTCGGCGACATGCGTCTCCCTTGACCTCTCGTGAGCCACGTGGTCTGTACGGGCAGTTCACACTTGAGCTCCACGTTCACACACAGGCAGAAAAGTCCGCAGGATTATCCTCTCTGACTTCGTTCCGCGTCCCAGCAATCAGTCCTGCTTTAATACCGGCAGAGACGCAGGGGGGGGGGGGGGG